TAATTTCCATATTTTTCGTATCTTTCATCCCTTATTTGGTTCTATTTTTGGATTTCCTGTTGGTTATTTTCCTATTTCTCAACAATATCCTCCATTATTTTTACCAACATATTTTAAATTTCCTTTCTGTCATTTCTAACATTTCTTTATAGGTGGAATCCTCTGTAGTAGTTACCACATGAGCCCTTGTGGGAAGTGGGGTTTTGCACTGTCTGGGTTTTCTTATTGCCAGGATTTTTCTGTCAGTTCATCCTCATGTGAGTTTTCTTCTTATCTGCTTCCTTCCCCTACTTTTTCCCTTTTACTTCCTCCTTCTCTTTAAATTACCTTCTCTCTGGGCTTAAGTGTTGAACTGGGTTTTTTTTGGTATAGGACCAAAAGGAAGAGAAGAGTGAAGAACAAGAAGGGAGAAAGATAGAAAAAGAAAAAGAAAGGGAGGTGGTAAAAAGAAAGATGATAGAAACAAGAGAACAGAAAGAGAGAGAAAGGAGTAATAGTGGTGTTCAATAGGGTGTTTTGACCCACATCCACAATTCCCAGCCTCTGGGGAGCTGGGTTAGGTGAGTCTCTCATAGGTAGGTCTCTCCTTACAAGCCTGAGCAAAACCAAGTTTCTACCTCTACCAAACAAAGAAGAAAAAGAAAACAGCAGTATGTCACAGTGGAGACCTACCAATACCTTCTTTCCAAAGGTCCAAGCTAGAAGGACCTCCTAAACCAGGCGATCAGATTCTCCTTGAGCCAGGACAATAATGTGGCACCCCAGGCCTCAGAGTGAGCCTCTATCCCATAAATGGAATACAGTTTAACAAAGAATAAAACAGATCAGGAAAAATAACACATACTAATAAAGGTATATAAAAAAAATATAAAAAATCATATAAAATGTAAAAAGGGGGGGTATATATTAGTTTTTATCTGAGAAGTGGGAAAGATAAAAGTAGAAAAATCTTTACAAAAAGAGAGAAAAGAGGAGAAATGGAAAAAAAGAAAGAATAAAAGGGGTAGAAAAACCATAGCAAAGATGGAACCCTTATTATTGAAGAAAACAAAAAATGGAAAAATGAAACAAAACAAAACAAAACAATTTTTTTTTTTTTGAGACAGAGCCTCAAGCTGTCACCCTGTCAAGAGAAAGTAATTTAAAGAGAGGGAGGAAGTAAAAGGGAAAAGTAGGGGAAGGAAGCAGATAAGAAGAAAACTCACATGAGGATGAACTGACAGAAAAATCCTGGCAATAAGAAAACCCAGACAGTGCAAAACCCCACTTCCCACAAGGGCTCATGTGGTAACTACTACAGAGGATTCCACCTATAAAGAAATGTTAGAAATGACAGAAAGGAAATTTAAAATATGTTGGTAAAAATAATGGAGGATATTGTTGAGAAATAGGAAAATAACCAACAGGAAATCCAAAAATAGAACCAAATAAGGGATGAAAGATATGAAAAATATGGAAATTATATTGTGGAGCTTAAGGAATTGAAGGAGTCAATCAGGGAACTTAAAAGATGCAGTAGAAGGTGGCAATGAAAGATTAGACTATGGAGAAGAAAGAATCTCAGAGCTAGAGAATAAAGCTTGTAAGCTAACACAGGCAGTTAAGGAGGCATCTGCAGTTAAGCAAGTGCCATGGCATCACAGCTCACAGCAACTTCCAACTCCTGGGCTTAAGCAATTCTCTTGCCTCAGCCTCCCAAGTAGCAGGGACTACAGGTGCCCACCACAATGCCCTGGCTATTTTTTGGTTGTAGTTGTCATCATTGTTTGCCAGGCCTGGGCTGGATTCAAACCTGCCAGCTCTGGTGTAGGTGGCTGGTGCCTTAGCCACTTGAGCTACAGGCACTGAACCAACAAAATAAAATCTCAAGGTAAAACATTGGGATAAAAAGAATAAGAAGAACAGAAAAACTGTAGCAAAATTTTAGCTCTTACTATTGAAGAAAGAAACAATGAAAAATTATGAATACAAAAAAAAAAAATAAAAGAAAAAGAAAGAAAAATCTAGGGGAAAAAAGTTGAAAAAAATTTAAAAAAATAAAAAAAAAAAATATATATATATACTTTTTTCATCTCACACCCCAGAACATTACCTATTATCCAGGCAATATATGGGGTGTGAGATGCTAACGATGCTGATATGGCTGTATAAAATGGGGTTTAGAAGCCTCTGTCTTGCCAAGGAGACCTACTACCATCTTTCTGATGACCATGCCCTCACTCCCCTCAAGGTTAGGAGCTTGAAGCTCTCATCAGCCTACTTAATAGATACACCTCAAACTTTCGAAACCATGCCCCTTGGCCATGGAGTGGCTTTCCCAGGAAAGTGTTTTTCACTAAAGTCTTTCCATGAGTGGCTGCACAGCTCAGCAGGCACTCCAGAACTGGCCTCTCACTGGGATCTTGCAGGCTGAAACTGCAAGGCAGCTCTTCCACAATGGTTGCTCTGGCCAGCAGTCCAACAATGAGAGTACCACTCTACATGGTGGCAATCCCCACCCCTGGGTGCTGTTTAAGATCACTCATTCACCCAAGCAATCCCAAGATAACTCTAGCCAGTGACTATGCACAAAAAATTAAAAAGGCTTTCTCTGAAAACCACCACTGAATCAGCCAGGCCCTGCCAACTCCAAGCACTCGCCTTCTGTGCCAGTTATCCACTGCTCCCAACCTCTTCGTTGGCTCTTGGAATCTCCTGCTGCCTCCCTGTTCCCCTGAGCTAATGTTTCTAGTTAGGGCCCTCCAGCCAGAGGTGGCTGGAGTCCTTTCTTCCCAATCTCTCCACAAGTGGCTGCAAAGGAGATATCTCTAGTCCTCCATCTTGCTCTGCCTGGATATGTGAATGTTCGACTTTATAAGAAAATATTTAATTTTGTTAATGTAGTTGTACTGGTTCACACTCTCACAAGAATATAGAGGATAGGTCACATTGTCCCTGGACACTTGTGACCCTATTCACTTCCAGGCTGAGTGTCATGGCTTGGATCATTCTTTTGATTAATTTGGTAATTGGTATCCAGGTCTATGAAATTGGTCATACGTTTTGGCTCGGGAATTCCATCTTCAGGAATTGCTACAAAGAAAAGAACTCAAAATGCAAAAAAACCTTTGGTACACAAAAATGTTCACTGCAATATTGCTTATGACTAAAAAAGTGAAAGGAAAACTCAAAATCCAAGAAATGGGTAAGTAAATTAGAGTATATTTGCAATCTTGTAGGTATAAAGTGGTATTTCTTGGTATTCTTGATTTGCATTGTCTTGATTTGTAGTGAAATTGAATACCTCTTCATATGTTTATTTGCCATTTGTATTACTTGTTTTGGTAACACCTGTTCATGCCTTTTGCCAATTTTTATCAAATCGTGTCTCTTTTTGTAATTGATTTATAGGAATTCTTAATATATTCTTGATATTGATCCTTTGTTTTTTATATGAGTTACAAGCATCCCCCAGTTTGTATCTCATATTTTTATTCTCTTTGAGGTAGAGTATTTTATTAAATACTGGTGTTCATTTTTATGCAATTAAATCAATGAGTGTTTTCTTTTATTGGTTAGTACTTTTTGTGCCTTATTTATGAAATCATTTTCTACTTTGTGGTATAAAATATGTATTCATCTGTATTTTCTTCCCACAGTTTTAAAGTTCTGCTTTTGACATTTATGATCCATCTGTGATTGCCATATATATAGGCTGAAATAGTTATCTATTTTGTTTTTTACCTATTGAAAGGCAATTTGTTGAGTAACTCCTCTTTACTCAGTGATGTGTCATGCTAACTTTGTAAAATATAAAAGTTTAAAATATTCATAGATAGGATTTGACACTTCGTTCTTAGTCTATCCTTGTTCTGATACCATAGTCTTATCCCCAAGAACATTACCATAACTTTTCATATTGAGTATGGCAAGTCTCTTTGTTACTCAATGTCTTTGCTCATTCATATAAATTTTAAAATCAACTTGTCAAGTTCCATGAAAATGTTGGTTAGGATTTTAGTTGGAGTTGCTGTAAGTCTGTAAATCATTTTAGGGATAATTAGCATCTCAATTAAGTCTTTCTATCTTTCCATTCGTTTATATCTTCTTTAATGTTCTCTAGAGTTTTAAATTTTCTGTGCACATGTCATATAGACTCTGTGTTAGATTTATTTTTAGGTATTGATAACTTATCTATTTTCTTTTTTCTCAGAATATAATTGTTGGATTAAGGTATAACTTATATAAAATAAAATGCACCATGTTAAGTGTGCAAGTCAATGACTTTCAACAAAGGTAGACCTACCTATGTAACCTCTGCACAGTCAAGATGTGGAGCATTTTTACCACCCCCTAAGGCTCCCTTGTTCCCCTTCACAGTCCTTACTCCCTACTCCAGACCTTAGGCAATCAATAAATTACTTGTCATTATGTAGTAAGTTTGCTTTTAAAGAAGAAAAACCTCATATAAGTAGAATGAGAAAAATATTCATTTCTTTGTGTTTGGCTTATTTTAATCAGAAAAAAATGCTTTGTAAGTCTTCCATGCTGTTGCACGTGTTAGTAGTTGGTTTCTTTTTATTGCTGAGTAGTAGATTTTCCTTTAAAATTTTGAGAATCAAAGTTTGATTTTCTTTTTTCTTTCCTCTTCTCTTGCTCCATCCCCCCAGGGCTCTATGACCAACCCTTCACTTTCTACTTCAATGATTCCTGAGCACAAAGAGTATTTGTGTGTTCTTTCATCCTAAAATACAGGTCTAATGACCCTGTGCCTTTCCTCCTGCACTGAACTATGCATTGTAGGACTTGTTCTAAGGATGGTAGCATGTGGCTACCGTTAATCATTTCCTAGAAAGTTCCTTCCAATTAAAAGAGGGAGGACCTACAAATTCACAGGGCTGTAACTTCCTGTCCATTGGGATCTGCTAGACATTCTGTTGAAAGGTCTCCAGCCTCCTGCATGGACTTGCTCAGGTAGTAGCTGACCAGATGGTCCTTCATGGGATTTCTGTGTCTTTCAGGACAATCCTGAGAAGACAGCCAGATCAGAACAAGGGGACTTTTACATCACAGGGGATCGAGCCCACATGGACAAAGATGGCTACATTTGGTTCAAGGGAAGAAATGATGATGTGATCAATTCTTCAAGGTCAAGCTGTCTTCTCTTTCCTCTTCCCTTTGAAGTTTCAGGAGGGTGGGGAGGGCTATATGGAAGCATTTATTTTTCCCTCCCAGCTACCGGATTGGGCCTGTTGAAGTGGAGAGTGTCCTTGCAGAACATCCAGCTGTCCTTGAGTCTGCTGTGGTCAGCAGCCCGGACCCCATCAGAGGGGAGGTAACCAAGAACATGACCACCTGCTTCTGTAACTATTAGTGCCCAGCAGAGCAAGCAGGAAGGCCCAGATTCCCCCATCTCACCTCCATCCAGATACCCTGAAGTTGGAAGCTCAATCAGACACACATCCCTTTTAACTAAGCATTTCCTCTGTGTAAGAGACGTAAATACTCTGGAGGGACACAATGGAAACACTTTGATTTTACGTGGACACAGAACAGGACCTGACTATGAGGCGGGAGATCTTGGTCATAAGTACAGGTTCTATCATCCATCCTTCCCAGTAAAATTTTTATTTCTAGTCAAGGGTAGAGTGAGTATTTGAGACATGATTGCTGATGACTTTAATCTGGGAGGGATGGCCAGCTTTAGGGATGCCAGAACTGGTACCTCAAATAACCCTGATATACCAGAAAGATGAGTCCAATGTAATAAGTTAGGCTTTCACAGGGGACATGCAAATTCCTTCCTGTGGGTCCCAGAGGAATACATAGAATAGGAAAGATCAAGATAAAGGCACGACTATGTACTTTTCACTGGCTGTAAATCCAATAAAATTCTAAGGTATACCATAGCTACTTTATGAAAATTAGGGCAACATCAACCTATTCATAGCTGCATTGTCCAGGGTTCTTATGGAAATAAAAGATTGTAGATCTCAAGTCAGACTTGCTGAATCATATTAATAGTAACTGGAGATGCAGCTCAGTTGCTGGGGAATCTGTGTTTTAGCCAGTAACCCCTTGCTGAGTGATTTCCCAAGGAAAGGTGAGGCCATTTATATTGAAAGAGGGGGGAGTGAATTCCATCTATGTTTTGCAGAAATCACACCTGGAAAAGTGGACCAAGCTTTGCATGCTGTGAATTAACTGAGGCAGAGACAAATGGCTGTGTGATCAAAGTTAATCCATGCTGAGTGCTTAGAAAAGAGCCTGGCACATAGAAAGTGTTCAATAAATGTTTAATAGTTGTGGCAGTAAGAGAAGCTCTTCCTAAAAGCAAGATATGTCTGAATATGAAATGAAAATTGGTGCAAGGGCAGTGAGTTGCACCTTAACAGGACATTGTTGATAGAATTTAATGCTTTTCTGGATAAGCAGCCAAGTGGCCTTCCATGACTATCAGAAACCATGTTCTGTTGTGTTTGAGTTTTGGATTCTTCCTCCTTCCTGGCAAGAGGCAGCCTATAGGAAAGATGTAGGCAGAGAAAGCCTAGTGCAGGATAGCCTCCCCGATGTCTAAATACAAGCTGTGCAGCTCAATATTTTCTGTTTGCATATGTTCATACATGTAGTCTCTGAAATACCCACCTCCCCTTGAAAGTGGTTGTTTTCCTCAATCCTGCCTGTTCAAACCCATGCCTACCTACCTTCCTACCTAGGAAAAGCTGGAAGTAAATGGCCATTGGAGTTTAGGAAACTCTTTTTTCCAAAGTCTTTGCCATTTTGACTCATAGTGGTGACAATCCGGGTATGGGGAGTAGTTTGAGAAACAGGTGAAGGGTCTGAAATCCTTCCACAAAAGTTGATGCACCCAATAGTTGATCCTGGAAAGGCAACAGAAAAACTGGTATTCATTTCACTGGCTATGCCCAAGAAAGTATAGAACTCTCTTTATGGCATGGTAAATGTAGGCACTTATTTAAGGCTAGCTTGAAGAGAAAAGAATTGTTATGCAAGTCTTGATCCTTTCTGATATTTCTCCCCATAGGTGGTAAAGGCATTTATTGTTCTTTCCCCTGAGTACACCTCTCATGACCCAGAGGAACTAACCCGGGAGCTCCAGGACCATGTGAAAAGGGTGACTGCTCCATACAAGTACCCCAGGAAGGTAAACAGATGGGAGTTCCAGAACACAGTAGGCTGGGAAGTCAGATGGGCTCACATGACCTGAGCTTTCACTCAGGGCCAGGCACTACAGAGATGCAGAAGACCCTGGCTGCTACATCAGCGTTTTTCTATCTGTTTCTTCACTGGATCCTTCCCAAAGTACATTCTATTCTTTTTTTTTTTTTTTTTTTAGTACATTCTATTCTTAAGTCTAAGAAATGGCCTGTGAATCAGACACAAGAGTTGTGAGAGCATGGCAGCAAAAAGTTCATGGGTATCAGACTCTATTGTCAGACTCAATGTGCTGTTTTGCACATTGTCTTCTGGCAAAACCCTGAATCATAGAGCTTTCCACTTAGTGGCAGAAAGTAATGCTTCTTTGAAGACAAAAATATTTCTTGGAAATAAGGATTTCTAAGTGTTTTCTTATTGTTGTTTGGTCACTAGGTAGCCTTCGTTTCAGAACTGCCGAAGACGGTTTCTGGAAAACTCCAAAGGGGCAAACTGAGAAGCCAAGAGTGGGGGAAATGAGGTAAAACCCCAGAAAGCCTCTCAAAGTTTCCAGAAAGAGCTGGCGGCATCACTAGTCAGCTGCCACTTGGAGCATCATCCCTGCAACCCTGTAGACAGTGACCGTGCTCTGTTTCCAAATGGGCAGCTCTAGAATCACTGGATGACTCTGGAAGAAAGCAGAACATCACTTTCCTGGAGCCCATTGCTACTGTCTCCTCAGGCAAATGCTTGGTGGCTTGACATCCCCTCATCTGCACACTAGTCTTACTAAAAGCTTTCAGTCATCGGCTAAAGGACAGCTTCCCATAGCCTTGGGACACTTGTGGTCTCATCCTCTGCCAGTGCAAATATAAAGAATCGACCCTTTGGATAAAACTGTGTGTTGATAGTACACGAGACTGTAAATTTGGTAAAACCCTTTAGCTCAGAAATTCTATCTTTGGGACTCACTACAAAAGAAAGAAATCAAAATGCAGAAAATGTTTGGCACACAAAAATGTTTACTGTGACACTGTTTAAAACTGAAAAACAAGCACAAGCAGAATCAAAGAACAAGGAAATGGTTAATTAATTATAATTAAGTATAATAATAACCAATAATAGATAATGACAATCTAATCGTGGTATGTTAACTCAACATATTAGATGGTCTTTAAAAATATTTCAAGGCAGTTTACCAAGTCTTGGGAAAAATATAAGCTCTGTTAATTTTAAAAATTAGAATAAAAATAAGTGCATAGTGGAGAATCACAACTCTGAAAAACAAAGGAAAACTGTAAATAGTAAATTTTTGGAGATTAGGGAGAGAGAGAAAACAATGGGTGGTGATTTTTCCCCCCTTCCTCTTTACATTTCTGTATTTTCTAAATTTTTTGTAAGTGGATAGAACTATTTTAATAAAGCATTATTTCAAGAAAACAATCTTCCAAAACTCCATTCTGCCTCATGTCTAGTTCTTCCTCCATATACTTGTACATCATCTCTTGACACACCTGATTCCCCAGCCAGCCTTTCCACAGGATCACCTCAGTCCAGCGCAGCTCCAGAAAACTACGTGCAGCTATACCAGAGAGGGCCAGGCACCACCATCCACACAGCTCACACTTCCCCACAGACCCTACTACCCTAGAAGTCATTGATAAGAACAACCTTTGCTACCACAATCACTTTCATCACTTTAGGGAGAACATATTCTATGGCAGATGTGCTAAATGCTTGGGTGAAATCTAATTAAGATGTTATGCCTGAAAATATCCTCCCAAATAGTCCCAACAGACGAATCTGAGACACACTCTGATGTAAAAAAACAAGAGGTGAGTTTTATTCAGAACCAGGTCTGGATTCTCCTGGCTTGCAAGCCAAGGAAGAGCCCCGAACTCGGGGTGGAGCAAGTTTTTATGGGGTACAGAAAGCAAGAAGGGTAGGGTCCGCTATGAATACACTCTTGATTGGTGGTTGGTGATTTCATTAGTAAAGGAGGATTTGCATTGGTGGTTGATGATTTCACTAGTAAAGGAGAATTTGGATTGGTACAGGTGAGGGGTGGGGGGTCCCTTAACTGGGGGCTAGAGTTGGTGCAGCCTGATTACCTGTATTTCAAGGTAATAGAAACTTATTGTTTATTATAGCAGCTGTTTGCCTAAGGTGACTCAGTTTATGGCTCAGTGGCTGTGCAACCTGAGGTGGGGGAGAGGCAGCAGGGAGTGGCCCTGCAAGTTTCACTGGCAGAGGTTGGGGCGGAAGGGCTAGGAATGGAACTTATGCAGTAAACAGCCAGGAATGGGGCTTGTGCTGTAAACAGCAAAGAATGGAGCTTGTGCTGTAAACAACAAAATGGAGCTAGTTTGGCTCTCACAAAGATATTCTCAATTTTTATTCACTCCCACTCTGCCTTCATGGACATGGCTCTATCTGAGCACTATCTGTGCTATAAATCAACTCACTTTTAAAAGAAAATGTCAGCTGGATGTGGTGGCTCACACTTGTAATCCTAGCACTTTGGGAGGTGGATGTGAGAGGATCACTTTAGGCCAGGAGTTCAAGACCAGCCTGGGCAACATAGTGATGAAACCCTATTTCTACAAAAAGTATTAAAAAAAAAAATTAGCCAGGACTAGTGGTGTGGGCCTGTAGTTCTAGTTACTCAGGAGGCTACAGCCAGGAGCTTGAGGCTACAGGGAGCTATGATTGCACCACTGCACTCCAGCCTGGGTGGCAGAGCAAGATTGTCTCAAAACCAAAATTAAATTAAAAAATAAAAGAAAATATCTTCATGCTAAGCAATATAATATTCATGAAAAGACAAATCTGGAATGCTGTTAATTTCTTTCTAATACAAATCAAAATAGCTGTGACCATGAAAACTGGTCTAAAATTACCTTGCAAAACCCACTTTGGGGAAAACTGATCTAGTCCAATTCTCCCTGTAACACTAAGACCACAAGTGGGAGGGGGTGAATTCTGGGATTCAGCTCCTCTCTGTGAAACTCAACTTCTACAAAATTATAAAGAATGGGAGAGGGAAGGGAGATGACTGACTAGAGTAGGGTGACCAGATTTTAACATTTGTAAAGCAGGACAACATGGCTGGGGGCAGGGTGGGGGCAGGGGACAGGGCAGGGCAGGGCCTGACAGCAATGCAAACTTTGATAAGCAGTTCTGGATAAGCACTTCTCAACAATTATTTGTTATTATTACAGTTTAACATTATAAAATTAACAAAAATAATATAAAACTCATATTCTGACAAAATAGCCACATGGCAGCTCCTGTTGGTGCATTCTTTCCAAAAATCGGGACTTTTTAAAAACACTGTTGGATATGGGACAAATTGTTAAAAATCGGGACTGTCCTGCCAAAAGCGAGATGTCTGGTTACCCTAGACTAGAGACATCAGCTGCTGATCGTGGTGGCAGAGGGAAGAAAAGGGTTCAGATAATGGAGGGGATGGGGGTGAGAAAGGCACAGCCCTAATGTAGTTGGGAAGAGACAGGTACCAGAATCTACCAGAGATTTCATGGAAGAAGTTGTAAATCAGAACAGGAGGAAAAAGATATTGGCAGAGATCAATCCAGGAGAAGCTCAAAGCCTTGTGGAGAGAGGGTAGGTGGGTGGTTTGTTTCTCCTACCCTCATGAGGCCAAAGGCTGCTGCAACCACTGAACTGGAACATCTTGAAAATAAAACATCGGGCTCCCAGCCCCTTCAGGGTGGCCCCTGTGGACACAGCCAGGAGCTGAGATGGCGGACCCCATACTGCTTCACTGCCCAAGGCGTTCCTGTGTCCATCCCAGGGAGCTTCAGCCCTTCCATTTTCACATCACGTGTTCCACACCAATAGTTCCCAACTCTTGCCCGAAAGGGGTGGCCTTGCAAAAATAAAAGGCAAATACCTAATCCTGCTATTTCTTATGATCAGTTAAAGATTAATCCTGTGAGTTCTCCTGCTAAGAGGCACCTGGCAGGAGTTCTGTTTTGCCCAACTTCTGAAAAGAGCTGAACAGATGGAAAAGAAATGTAAATCTTTCTCTTTCAAGATTTTTTTTTTTTTAAGAATCTCCTTTTACAGAGTTCCTGAATAAACAGCAGGAGAATGAGCTGAAGCCTCAACCATATCTGGAGGCAGAGTCACATATCCCATAACAGATGCCACCATTTCCAAGAAAAGGTAGGGGAGCCAACTCTTGGAGTGGATTCAGGGGTTTCTCAACTGTACACTGCCATTTTACAACTCCCTTAGAAAGCCTCAAGAGCTGGATTTCCAGGTCAGCATAGTCTTCCTTTTTCCACCTCAGTGCTGGTTTTTTTTTCCTCACCCAGAGAAAAGTAAATAAATTTCTTCTTTCTATCCTAATCTTTGTCTAGAGAAATATTTCTCAAAACCCTTATTCACTAGGTCTCCACCCTAATGTAAGGGCCAGACCAGTGCCATTTTGTTGTCTACTACATAAGCTCTGTTAAAACCGCAGGGCCACTCCCTACTGCCTCCCCCACACCTGCTTGCATAGCCACTGATTGAGACACCTTAGACAGACAGCTGCCATAATAGGCAATAGGTTTCAGTCTCCTTACAGCTGCCATAATAGGCAATAAGTATCAGTTCCCTTGAACTGCTCCCATAATAGGCAATAGGTATCTACTTCCTTGAAATTTAGGCATTCTTCTTCCTAATTAGGCTACACCACCTCTAGCCCCAGTTAAGAAATCCCCTACCCTTCACCTGTACCAATCCAAATCCTCCTTTACTAGTGAAATCATCAACAACCAATCAAGAGTGTACCCCTAAGGACCCTACCCTTCTTGCTTTCTGTACCCCATAAAAACTTACTCTACCCCGAGTTCGGGGCTCGTCCTTGGCTTGCATGCCAGGAGAGTCCAGGCTTCCCGGGGCCTGAATAAAACTCACCTTTTGCCTTTTACATCGGAGCGCTTCTCAGAATCCTCTGTTTGGGCTATTTGGGAGAATAATTTTCGGACCTAACATTTTGGTTCCCTGACCGGGAATCTTCTTCCAAACCCCCACTGCAGACCTGCTCCGACACCGCCCTGGAGGTGTGTGGTATGTGTGGTATGTGTGAGTGCCGTCTAGCCATGCATAGGACGTCTTGATTTGACTACAAGTGTGTCTGTGTTCCTTGTTTCTGTGTTTCTTGTTTTGATGATCATCTGGCCTGTCTGAAAGGGGATAGAAGCTAGATCGGATGCGATTATGGATACTGGACCCCAGGTAGGGTTTTGAGAGGTCAGTCCTACCTCTGATGAGCGGAGAGCTCATGTCTGTTCTCTGATGAGCTGAGAGCTCATATCTGTCTATTCTCTGACGAATGGAGAGCCTGTATCTGTCGGTTCTCTGACAAGTGGAGAGCTCGTATCTGTCTATTCTTTGATGAGCTGAGAGCTCATGTCGGTCTATTCTCTGACGAGCGGAGAGCTCGTATCTGTCTGTTCTCTGATGAGCGGAGAGCTCATGTCTGTTCTCTGACGGACTGAGGGCTGTGTCTGGTCAATTCATGTTTCTTGCTGGTTGTTGATGTCCTGTGCTTATTGTTTCCTGTGTCCGGACTGTCTGAGTCACATAGTTTCTTTAGATTGTAGTTTTGAGTGTTGTAAAGAGTGTAAGTTTAGAGCCTTTCTCAAAGTCCTAGTGGATGACTGGACCTGCCTGTGGATTTGTGAGGCGGCAGATTACTATAACTGGGTCCTAGGCCTTTTCTATCAGGCATTATTGCCGACTTCTGCTTCCAGGAAACCAGGAAGCGAGGGTTGGCGGAAGAACCATGCAGTCAGATTCTTTGGATCTGGTTCTGCCTGCACCACAAATCACCCCCCCCACCCCCACCCCCCGTGGGGAACTCCTGCTGGTCTGGCCATGCGGCCCTCAGAGCGCTCCTGGGACAAATTCTCCCAGAGGAACATTTGGTTGAGACAGGGCTGGCAAGCTTCCTGGGGCGGGTCATTGCAAAGGCTAAGCACCAGAGAGGAACCAGTAATGGGTGGCGCTAAGACATCCAAAGTAAAGCAAGATCCCTATGAAGTCCACCACAATTTTAGTGAAAGAGGAATTTGATCACCTCCTGGGTGTTAGTTCGCCAGCAGATCTGTTGACAGGTATGAAAAGACCAGATCTGCTAGATCGCCAGCCGATCTGTAAAAAATTGTGTGAGAGTGTGTGGGTGTGGTATGATTGAGAGAACTCCGAGGGTGGAGTTGGATCTCCCCTCATAGGGCCTAAGAAAGTGTTGGTTTGCTTCTTATAGCTAAGTAGCAGCTTAAGTGGGAATTTGAGGCTGCCCAGGTTAAGAAATGCATTGAAATTGTGTGCATGTGTGTGAGTGCTTGGAGAATGACTAAAATGGGTAATAATAAGTGGGAGTAAAACAAATGTGTGAGTGTGCCCTTCTTCCCTGTTCCAACTTTGCCCCTTGGCTATCCTGAG